GCATTTTTTACAAAAAAGGGCGTGGCCGCATTGCATCATGGGTAATAGAAAATTAGCTTAAAATGCATCTTAATTGACTGAAATGACATAATTTCAAGATAGGAACCAATTTCCTTCACTTTCTGACTTATTTCTAACAAGAAATGATTCTTAAATAAATTTTTCAATTTTACCCCAATGTTACACCTTTGTACATCAGAACTGTGCTACTGATCCATGGAAAATCATGCATTCAGTAGGTACTGTAAAACAGCACAGACTGACTGATTATAAATTCAACATTTCGGGCTGTATTCTGCTATGATTAGTTATTTCTATTTAATGAAGTAATAAATTTATGCTCTTAATTTATTGTAAACAAAATAATAATGGCTCACATTTGTGGCAAACTCCTCTGCCTTATTCCTGCAACTTTGCTCCACCTCAAACTTCGAATGCAGATTTTCATACTCAGATAAGGCAAGGTTCGAAACTGTTGAGTAAGAAAAGAATGAGTTCTAAAATTAGCAAATTTAATAGTCTTTAGTTAGTATTTTCCAAAGCAGGTGATTACGTACACGTAAGGACCTGATTTTATAAGACGGAAAAGGTAATTTAAATATCGCTTTTGGGGCGCACCCAGATATTGCAAAGTCCCAGCCAATTGTTTTTGATCCAAATTGTGTGGCTTCCAAAAAATTAATATAATTCATAACCTGCCCAAAGAGGTATTGGATTGAAACCTCTCCACCATCCTAACCATCTGGACAATTCGGTTTCCCTTCATGCTTTCCTTTAAAAACCTTTTTAGCATATTCAGTGCCCTTCCTCAAGCTGGGCATTGACATTTAGAGGAGCCATAAATTGCATCAATTATTTTGTTTTCAGTTGCAATAGAAATAGTGTAACAGAGTAATGTCCTTTAACTGGGCAAAAAATTTACAAATCAGCTTAAGCTTGATGACCATGTGAAGAGGTTTACCATTAAGGACTACAATCATGAGTTATTTGATCTTGAGTTTGAAAAAGTCTGGCAGACCATTTCAACCTTGTGCAAAATTCAAGATGGTGCCGCGTGGAGGCAACTGTGGTGGTCGAAGGAGACTACAGTGTTTCCACACAGTGCAGCTAGCCTGACCGCCAAATCACAATTTTCTTTAATTAGAAATCTATTATATTCATATCTATAGCTTTCAACTGATGTATTGAATGCAAAATTCTGGGCAGATATGCTGGAGAACATAACTTATTTATTTGAAAGATTCAGAGCATGCTGCATTGATCATAGTACTGTTACAGTAGAAATATGGCACGATTTTGGAGTTATTCAATGTATCTGAACTTTAAATCATTATGTATCACAAAATCTGCATTCACTTAGCTTTCAAACATTTGGTATATTTAACTTGGAAATCTGTGGCGATGTTATGGAGGAAGAAAACTGAGATATTTATATACCCCAACTTCACGTACTAAGCCTTACTTGTCTTCATTTCACAACTTATGATGTAACCACTGCAAAAAGAGTTTATCATTTCACAAGAGATAAGTCCGCTTTACAGACCAAGCAGAGTTTGTCTGCTCATTTCCTCAGAAGTCTCAAAAACAACAAAATTTTAGGCCCACTTCCTGCCTTCTTAGAATTCCTGCTTCCTGCCCTTTCCCCTTCCACCTCCTGTACCCCTTCTCTACCTCTCCTTTACCCCTCCCATATCCTACCCATATCCCTCCTGTCCCTAACTTCCCAGGCTTCCACCCTCATGTCCACCCCCCCCCCCCCCCCCCCCCCNGTCCCCCCCCCCCCCCTGCCACCCCCACTGAATTACAAGTGGGGATTTACTTACAAAAGATTCTGACTCTTGACTGGGAAAATTTAGTTCTATTTTTGGAAAGATCATCTGTTGCAGGAGGTGACCACTTATTACAAGTGGCCACACTGGGAGATTCTGGGAGATAAAGAGAAATAGAATCACAGCCAATCAGGACTAAAATTTGTGTTAGATTTCTTTCTCCATTCAAATGTTACTGAATTTAAATTTAAATCTAAAATTTTATCTGTCCTCAATGTAAAGGAAGTCAATACATCTTTCAACAATGGTAAATTGAATTTTTAAAGAATAATATTTACTTGATTTCTCCACAACACAAATTTTAAAGAATGTTTTCGAATTAAATAAGACGCTGTTGAAAGGATGAAAGATAACCTTTGACTTTTACACAAATTCTCTACTCACTAATTTTCTGTCTCTACCTTTTAAGGTTTAACGAAGAAAAATATGGCTAGGGATTTGATGAAATGTTGTTTGTTTACAATATAAGCTTTTGAGCTTATGCACCGTAAATTAAAACTATGACAAAAGAAATGAAATGAAATTAATCAGCACAAATATGGGAAAAAAGAGGAACTAATTTATACATTCAATTGAATCTTTGTGTACAAATTGAGAATATCCCAGAGGGTACATGCATGTAAAAATCTCTTTTATGACACTACAAATTATGTTGTATTAAAATACTCACGGCTTTCAAATCAAACATAGCTTGAACAATAGGAAATTTGTTTACACTACCTTACTATCTGATGCTTAGCTAATTGACTTCCGAAGAGAAATAAGTAGTGTATTCTTATATTTCAAAATCAACAATTTTAGCACTCGCTTGATAAGCTAAAAGAACGTACATTAAACTTTTCTTTGAAATACTAATGTCAGTAAAGTGGCTGCTTCTACAGAGTTGTTTGGTCGTAAAATTCTGAACAAGCACCGTTTAAAATTTCACCTCACTGACCAAGATACAACCGCAATGATAAAAGGAGCCCGATTATTTCATTATTTTGCAATTTTGCTCACGGGTATGTCTTCAATACAACCAACATTCTCTTGACCTCTAAAATATGCCTTATGTAGCAGGCATACAACAATGGGCTTCTATACGATATTCCTTATATCATTTGCTTGCCTAGCCTGCGCATTTGCGCTGATATAAAACGGGAAGTAGCAGACTGTCAGTGATGAAATATCCTCTCCATGTTATTATCAGTGACTCGGATTTCACGACTTTCGAAAAGTATTCAAATGCAATCTTCTTTCCGTCGAAATCTCATGAGCAAAACTCCCGTTCCTACCTTCTTTCAGTTTCTCCAAGTCCCCTTTGGCTTTCGAATATTTCGCCTCCTGCTCTTTGAACTGAAATAAAAAAGAAAAGGAAATTAACAATGATTTAATATACGCGGATGACTGCTGAAGGTATTTGGGTTTTAATTGGAAGCTCGCTGGTTCTTTATTCTTCAATTTATCAAGAACCAGCTGCAGTTTCCCAAGATGAAAAAAAAAAAAACAATTTCCATATAATACACTTACCTTTTCAAAGTAATCCTGACACTTTTTCTGCAGATCTTCGAATTCAATGACCGCTAAAAACGAAAGAAATCAATAACACGATCAATCACTCGAAAAAGTGCACAGCTGAGTAAATGAAACGAAGTCGCCGACTTCCTTGTCAGATTGTTCTCGGTATAGATTACCACCAACCTCTTTGAGATAGCCCCTTTAGGTTTCGGTAATTTCTATCTAATACTTCCAACCTCTTCCGGGTTTCGTGTAAGTCGAGTCCATACGCCTGTGAAGCATTTGAAGCATCCGCCATTTTTCCATCGACAAATTTTTCTTGTCACACAACAAGACGTAGTTTGCATTAGTGATCACGTGATAAGTAACAACATCCGGTGCAAAACGCGGAAAAGACAATTTACGAAAGGGCAAAAACTGGCACAACTTTTATATAAACAAAAACGTGTATATGATTGATATTAAATGAGAGATTTTCAAACCACTGAGCAACTACCCTGCATTTCTTTATAGGGAGTATCGACTACAAGAAATTTTGGAAACTCAAATCATCCAAATACCTCATCCATGACCAGTGGATTGGTGCTAACATAACAAACCAGGAAACTAAGCTACCCACTTACTAGTCATTTACAAGATGGTTAATGTTATACCTCCGGAGGGGGCTACTCCCAGAAAAGTTGGGTGGGGGCGTGCGACCCACTTCCCAAAACCCTTACCCTATTTATGACCAAACTCTGCGATTTTTGCTACCCTATTTATGACCTGGGGCCCGTTTCTCGAAGGTCCCGAAAAGTTTTCGCACCCGAAAAGAGAAAAGCCGTAGCAAAATCTCAAACCTTATGACTACAGAGCTGTTTTATGCACATATTCTTAATATGAGCAGAGGTTCTCTTCATACAAGAAGTTTCAGGCGTATACACCTCTCTGTCTTTAACACCGATTAACTAAAAATGCTTTTGCGGGCCCGAAGAGTTTCCGGGGTTTGTGACCTGTCCAAAAATTCGATACCCTATTTATGACCGTTGCGTCTGGCACAGTTGCCCTAAACGTAAGCTATGAAGGGCTTTTGTTGACGGTCTTATTGATAATGATGAAAAAAATAGCTTCTTCTAAGAAACATGCCTAATTCAAGACTAGAGTGCTAAAACCATTCCCTATTTAAGACCAAAATGGCCAAAATCGATACCCTATTTCTGACCAAAATGGCTGAAAAACCCTACCCTTTGGGGCCGCACATACCTATATATCCCATGTAAGGGAGTACCCCCCGGTGTTATACACCCTTTGATCAAGTGGGCCTGCATGAAAAGGCACATTACAGCTCAGAAATAAATATGAACTTTGACATACAAAATGCCTCAATGAAGATACATAGGCACGCAATGTGTGCATGACTGTTTACAGTTGACGTCAAATAACCCAAAAACCCCAATGAGAAATTCGGATCTCCCGTTAACACGAAACAAAATTGATTTTCCCTGGATTGGTTCTAGATTTGCTTCTTACCGACCCTTACCATTAACTGCAGTTTTACTCTCGAGATTCGAGTCCTCTTTATCTCGAACCTCGAAGCCATTTTTTAAAGTCATCTCCTTTGTAAATTTTATCCTCGGTAACACGATTGTGGGGATGCAGCGGCTTAATGGTTAACCTGCGGTCATATCCTCCCTCCCTATACTTTTTTTCCCTTCTCCTTTTCCAAAAGAAAAAATGAGCATGTTTGCAGCAGTTTACCTAATGGTTAGAGAGATGGACTCCGGATCGAGCGGTCCAGGTTCGAGCCCTGGCCTTGGCTGACCTGGCCGTGTGATGTTCTTGGGCAACCCAGGTGTATAAATGAGTACCAGGGAATTTACCACTTTTTGAGTAAAACTGTCGTCAGCCATTTCATTTCTCTTTTTCTTTGTCCACAGTACCCACGGCCCCACTCCCTTGCTTTTGCCCTCGTTCAGTCTCTCGTGGTTTTTATTTTGGTCTCGCCCAAACTAAGTGAGAGAAACTCGGTAAAAGATACATATGAGTTAACTGGTTGCAATTATGTTCTGCTCTATCCCACCATATAGTACTGTTTTGTTGTTTTCCTCTACTTTGTTTTATTCCCTTCACATCTGTTATGATTTACTATGTTGGGAAAAGAACGTTGAAGTTTCAATCTTTCTCACTAATGGACCAGAAGGAAACAGTACACTCATCGTTTTATTCTCTACATTCTAATTTCAGGTTATTTGTTGCCTACACTGTTAATCTCCTAAAACCTCCAACTCCTGATAACTTGAACTTGTCTTAAATTGATTTCCCCTGAAGGTTCGAGTTATCGGGAGTGCACTGTACTTAACTTGCACTGTGCTGAGATAAGTGCAATTACCAAGCCGTGTGTACGCTACTTTTGTTGAATATTAAACAAAAACAAACATTGCGCTATGTTTTCGCATCCTAACTAAAATCTTCTGTGAAGATTTTCTTGATAAATCCAAATCTTTGTGGCTCTAAAATTAGATGGATCAGGGTCGAAAAACTAAGTGAATGATGGCTTGCTCTTAATGTCATAAATCTTCTCGTTTAATAGGTCTGGCTAAAAAGTGCTCTTAAGCTTTCACTTGGAGACCTGTTCTTTTGGCCTCTCTCCCGTTAGTCCTCTTAGAACAAGAACCATTTACTCAACAAGTAAGTACTCAGCTCTCCGTTAGATAGATAGATGCATAGTAGAAATTATAAATTGTAAAAGGGGATCCCCAAGAAAAGTTTGTAAAAACTTGCTGGGATCTTCTGCCAATAAAATCGATAACAACATGTAATAACGAGAAATGTCCTGTGTAAAAGCAATGGGCAAGCAATAAAATTGAAACTAAAAATTGAAATTGAATTGAAATTGAAAGTCTGCGCGTCGCTCCTTAGCAGCTCTTAGTACTGGGGGCACATCAGTCAAGGCTCATTGACACGATTCGATGGTATCATTCGATGTTAGAGAAAACAAAGCGCCAACAAATTGGCCAATGTTTCCTTAATTTATAGTAAATGGTTTGAAACCAGGAGTATCAGTGGTTCATATCATTATTGTCATCGTCCGGCTAAGGGCCGGGTCGCACCAGAGCGAATTCAAATATTTCCAATTTTTGGCTCTAGTGCGAACCGGGCCTAAGTGTGGTTCTGAAAAGAACTGTTGTTGGTGACTGACGTTTCGACAACCTGAGCGGAAGTCGTCTTCAGAGTCAAGTGAATAGTATTTGCCAGTCGATGATGTCGATGATGTTTTAAGTCTGATCTATTGAACTCAGATTGGTCCGCTTAGCCGAGAAGGTATTGGCTGTGGGACTCGTGCAAACTTTGTCAACAGTCCTTGGTGGGTTCAACTTAATTGTCACAAGTCAGTACGACCATTTCAGTCAATATCGCGGCTCGGGTATCACCGTGTCTTCAATTTACAGAATCTTTATAAATTTTCGTGCGTGCCGCGCCCATGTCTCGTCCCATTCCCCTTTCAGGGCTGATGCGTCTCGCCTCATAATCCCTGCCGGATTTCGAGAGAAAAACTAACCTACGTGTAGCCGTACCCACCCCCCGAGGAAAAACGTTTTCCTCGGGGGGTGGGTACGGCTACACGTAGGCTAGGGAAAAACAGACCATCAGCAGTCTAAACGGGTTGTTTGTATCCGACTCAATAAAATGAAACATCTTCCCTGGCATGGATGCAATGCATTAATTCGTATCGCGTATAGCTAACTACAGCCGGCAACCGATGAAACCGTTTGCACTCTGAAGATTCGATAAAAGGTAGTCTTCCGATCACTATGTCTCATGAAAAATGCACAAGCTAAAGCCGGATCCATGAAAAAAAAAAAAAAAAAAAAAAATGACGGAAGCTTCGCTAATCAGCAAGTCCCACACATAATGCTGCTTGAATATAATATAATCGTTAGGGTATACACTCTTTTAATTTTGGATGCTTTCTTTACAGACGTCTCCCTCTGCGGCACCTCGCGGGGGATCCTAGGAATGAGCGCACGGAACGAGAAACATTGCTGTTCATTGTTTAATTCCGCATTCAGTTTTCGCAAGCACAGGAGACAGAATACTTATGTTAATGTAACATATTGTGATGAGACTTACTCCACCCCGATAGTTTTTATTATTTGTTGGTAGTTCGCGATGACTCCGGGCCATTTTATTAATAACTGCATGTTCGACAAGCGAAAGAAAGAAAGAGCACGAAGAGAGTCGCGTTTCATTACGCTTACTTTGCGCAGCTTAGTAACCAGGCACCTGCTAACGAAAAGCCACGCCCCTGATCAGAAAGTATTACTGAGGAAACCATTCTACTCGATGTAAGTGATTGAAAAACTGTGAGAAGTGAATAACTAAAATTTCCGACCGACCTGAAACGTGACTTGACTTCAATAAAACGCGTTAGTGAAGCAACATTTATAGTTGTCATGCCAAATCACTGATCGTGTGAATTTAACTGTTCTCCACGGCAAGAAAAAAGTTGAGGTACTACCGTATATTATTAATCTCATTTTAGAATTTTAAGGCTTTATTATCACTTTTTGCAAGGATCCGGATGGCAAAATTTCACATGATGATCACGATTTGATACCAGCTCACGATCACGCCCACAAAACATTACTGCCCCTAGAAACAGTTCAGTTGCTATGCGAGATCAAGAATGTTATTTACGAGAACCAACTTCTACTCGTGGATGCAATGGAAAGAGAGAAGAATTGATAATATATATATATATATATATATATATATATATATATATATATATATATATATATATATATATATATATATATATAGACACGCTATTGAAATACACGATACTGGGATTTGTTTGTTTGCAGGTACGACCAAAATGTCAACTTTACCTTAGGATCGGTGAAATCTCCAGTTGTGTAAGTTCACTTGAATATGTTTTCCTATGAATTGATTGGTCGTTTTTGTCGGCGATCGCGACGTCGATTGCTGACAAATATAAATTACATTCTTAAGCAAAACAGACAACGGGGCGCTGTGTAAGACCCTTGAAAAGAAAAACGAGTGTGGAAGCCTCGATGAGGGTGAACTGACAATCATTAGCTGAGGCTCGAAGGGTTAGGGAGAACATACACTCTCTCGAAAATCGTCGCACGGTCGTGCTTCAAATCTCACTTAATTTCTAACCACAACTACCCTTTTCTGCGCCTAACCGGCCCTGTTGCTCGTTGGACTAACCTAAAACAGAAGGAGACGAACTGAGGAGGGGGAGGGGGGGGGGGGGAGAGAATCTACAGAAAATAGGCGTTTTGTTTTTCACCGTTTACTCCCCCGCCTTTTGAATTTTAAGGACATAGTTATAAATTGAGGTCCTGACAGAACCATGCAAATCTTACTTTGCGTCACAAGAATTATACCACGCACTCCAGCCGTTCTAAGTGACGGTCGATAGCTGACAAATCAGAAACAACTCTGTCTTAGCGCCTGTTTTTTTTTTTTTTTGTTACCGGTGCTTACCATTTTTGTGGACCTTGAATGGAACACAATTAAGAGGGCAGACTTTCTCACCTAGGAAATGGAGGCTCGGGGTAGGAGGAAGGAAGAGAAAATTTCCCTTTTGGTGGTTTTCGTCCCAATGAGCGTTATATTTTCTGGCAATGCGCTCGCCCCGGAGAAGAACATCAGCCGTAGTAACTATCTCAGGGGCTATCCGTTCATTTCGATGCCTAAATTCTCGGATACTCCACTCACTGAGGAGCAACTGATCTCCGTTGACTGTTATTACCTGATTATTACCGCTGTTTATAGCTGGCCAGTCGAAAGGAGTTCCTTCTGTAATCAACCCCCTACTCCAACAAAACTTAGCCTGTGAACATGCTCCCAGCGAGGGCGAAAAATAATGCCGCAAAACGAGCCGACAAGCGCGACAAAAAAATGGTGAGCGAAGCGAGCCAAGTGAGACGGGAGAACATACACTCGCCTTCTCTTACTCCCCATCCGCTCTCTCCTAAAAATAAAATATGTCCGTTCGTTAAACGCATTGCACAGGGAATGATTTTGGGCACGCTGATCTGGATTTCTGACACAAGTCTGGTTTGCCAAAAATCTCATTGTTTTGGTTTGAACAGGTATACCTCGCATGAAGATTGGGTGACTATGTCCGGCATCCCAAACATTTATATTTCTGCTGTTAGTGTTTTTTTCGCGAAAAAGTGTCAATATTCTAATAAACCTATTTGGGATATGCGTGAGGTTTTTTGATTTGAAATAAGCTCCCTTTCGCTGATGCAAAAACCCACTCCGGCAGAGGCTCAGTATTGACTTATTGTGGTAGAGCACCGTCACGCTATCTATAGGATGATGTATTACCTAAAAAACATTCCAATTTTTAAAGTTGAAATTTTAAAATCAATGATGATCTGATACACTGTACGGCAGCGAGAGGAGATGAACTGACAGAAATGGTATAACAATATCAGGATCTCGAACAATACTAAAAATAACTGCATAATTTTAAAGTAAACTTCAATTTTTCCCTGACGTGCAGATCAGTTTGCCTGTTTTATTTATCATTCCAACATTTGTGCTGATCCAAGTGGTAATAGATAACAGATCCAGCGCTCCTTACTGCTTTGTCGCTATGGTTTTGGCGTTTGTATGATTGATTGGAGACAGATATCGTGTGGAAGTTTCCTGGCAACATGCTGAAAGCTACCTCTTCCATTTAACAATTCGGTTGGGCTGCCAGTGAAAAACTGTACTTCTTTTCACTGGCCGCATAAAAATGGCAGAGAAACCGTGAAGCCTACCGTGAAATGACCGATAGGGGAAAAAAAATGATTAAAATCTGCCCCCCCCCCCCACCCCCGTTTCGAACCGCCTCCATGGAAACTTCAAAATTGTATATTTTATCACCTTCCTTGTATTCCTTTCGGAGGTATCAGTGTGTGTCTTGCAGTGTAGAAAGCTGTTTATCCTTGTTTATATTCATTATATGATCTGTTCAATCTAATTATTCTGTCGAAGGAATACTTTACTTGACAGTTTACTGGTGGCCTTCTTAGCATGTTGTTGCCCTAGTAATTCGCGATTTCCTTTTGGACACTTTTATAATCATAATATTCTAATCCTTCACCTGTGTGAAGTTAATAATATTTTTTCTGGGGTTTTTTACGTTGATCGTAAATTTTTTAGAGTGAAATGCGAGAAACAAACCCAACTTCCGGTTAACCGCAATTTAGCTTTGATTATTTACAGGATGTCCGATAAGTGATAGGCATTTATCACGTTGCTTCGAATCTGTCATCGGCAGAAGTCTCTGAAGTAATCTATTCAATGGTTGATCCCCGATGTTTATCATCGCGCACTTCTGAAAAGGCAGAGATCCGATTTACCGTTCAGTTGAGCTCAGCAGTGACTCTCTTATGGCAACTTTTCCTCTGATTGACAATTGAAAAACAGCAACTTTAATTAACAAATTCGGATCGAAATCTCAGCGGAGGGTCCAAAGATTTCACGCTCTAATGAAAAACTAATAACCATTTGAATAGCAGACTTTGAAGGTGTTTATTTTTGCACTGTGCTGCTCCCGACCTTTGCTTACAATGGCCAACGAATTGTTTCACGAAAGCGAAATTACTGACTTGTCAGCGTGACAAGATTGGTTAATTGTGTACACTGCATTTCCATGACAATCGATATTTGAACCCGGCTTCGCGATTGGAGGTAAAACAATATGTAATTGGAGTGATTTGGCGCCCTAAAGTCTCTTGAATGACACTGTAATCCACATTGTTGATGAAAAAGGGAACCCGTCAAAATCAATCGGACATGCTTTGATGAACATGCTTGAACTGTTTTGGGAGGGGAGCCAAAACGTTCTGATTTCGTTTTGCGTTGTTAACAACAGAACCCCCAAGTGCATTAAATAGCGTCTTTTAGCAGACGCCCTTCAATCGCTTCAACGAGCAGCCTTCTCGGTTTCCGACAGGGCTACAAAGTAGGTAATTTTGATGGGCGCGAAATTCTGCTCCTTTCGATATCCCCCTGTGTATTAAATTATCGGCTCATTTGACGTCATAAGGCGCAAGCGCAGTATGGCGCTTTTTGACAATTGATTGAGTACAAAGTCACGCCTCCCGTTCCCCGCTTCCAAAAAACTAGACATCCCGCTGATTCCCATGCGAGTTTTAGGGTTGCATTGACAAACAACCACTAATCTGCCCTCTGGCAGAGCAAGAACGTAAATTCTACACCGCTATTCACGTCTGGAGTGAAAAGGGACGCCTGACCTTTCAACGTGGGTTCGCAAGAGTTTCAGTGAAACGAAAGATGTCGCTTAGCGAAGTAATGCTGAAAACGCTCATTCCAAGTAACTTCTTGGATTCGGATGATGAGGAGATAAAGTCGTTAACTTGTCCTCCAGAGACAGACGATTTGCAAAGGAACGAATTTCACATGTTCAATGACTACTTTGGGCTGAGCAACTTGGTGCAAAGAGTGAGACAAGCGAACGGTAGTGATTTCGACTATTTAACGGGTGAAAATTTTGGAGTCAGCAAATTGCCGCCAAGACGTGACCGATTTGACAGCATCGATTCCGAAAATTCATCATCTGGTAGCTGTGATTCTTTCACTGATCATTTTGGAGATGGGCCTTTCCAGCCATTCAACTCTTCATCGCTCTTGCACAGTGCATCTTCCAAGCGAAAAGAAGCAGTTTTGCCGCCAAGCCGACGGATTAAACCGTCTGCGAGAGCTCCTGCTCCGGTCTCGAATCGGCAAAACGTGTGCGTGTTTTGCAGAAACAATGGGGAAAGCGAGGAGGTCTTCTCTTCCCATCAACTAAAGGGTCCCGATGGAAAGACGACATGTCCAATTCTGAGAGCATATACTTGTCCTATCTGCAAAGCAAGCGGCGATGAGTCACACACCATCAAGTATTGTCCGCAAAACCAGCAAGCGCAAGGCAATGGCGGTCAATTGCCAAAGGTGCCCAGGAATCGTGTTCTTCCCAAACGGAGTCGCTGAACTTTCATCGCAGATTCTAAAGTAAGACTTAGTGTGAAATCATTATGTAAAGATTTTAAGGGTAAATTCAGAGTTTATATGCCGATTTTAAATTTATATTCGGGTTGTTGTGTTATTTGTTTACCACATGATCTCTTACTATTTCCAAGACAGCGTGCAGCGGCGCAACGATCGCAGTGAGCTAAATTATTATTGCATTTATATAAGAAAAACCCACAAATGGCGGTGCAGATTGCCGCTATTCGTATTATTAAGGCCACTTTCATTCAAGGCATGTTAGTACAGTGTTGTTAGTATTCATTTTCTTTCGCTTTCGAACCTAAACGTTCTACGTTAGCTAGACTTCGATGTTTTGTTAGGTTATTAATTTGCAGCGATCTGCATTCACAACGGAAATTTCAGGAAGATTGTTGTTAAAATTGAGTATTTAGTTCCCAACAAGAGATGTTGTGTAAATGTTGCGAAAATTACAATATTTTACCCCAAAGTGGTTGGACTTCCTAGTTAGAGGTTAACTTATCGAATATGTATCTATGTAAAATTTTCGAATTGTAGCAGAATACAATATTGAATTTTCACCCTCTAAGTGTAAAGTATTTTAATATGAAAGTGTTGATTAAGAATTTCGTCCAGAAACGGAGAGATTATGATTAATAATGTGTTTTATAATTCCCAATTCTTCTCTAAGGGAGGTTTTTCAATAATTTGTCGATATTTACGATGTAGAAATTTACTACTTTGAAAGTAGGTTAATGCTACCTGGTTGTAGAGGTGGATTTTTGAATGAATTTTATTGTAATTTTAACAGCTGTGTTCTAAATACTGGCTGCAAATGATGTGAAAAAAATCAAGGTTTATGAGAAAGTTTTTTAATATTAAAACTGACATGCTTTATTCTAAACGTCAGGAAGTTTTGAGTACGATTTGTATTTATACATTAAGCTAATTCTAATATCAGAGGAGAAATTTTGTATGGCTTATTGAAAGGAGAGAAAGATTAAAACCTCGTTTTTCAATTTCTACTCTTTGTGTCTGTGTTTTTTTTAAATCTGACCTTTCTTTCATAAATTCCACGGTCTCTAAGGGTTTTGTTTCTTTCGCGCGCTTTCCGCTTTGGCGCCGATGAATTGACCGGATTATAGTAAGTTTTTCGTACGTTTGAGAAGCTCAGCAAACCGACTACAAATCAAAATATACGTTGCCTTGCTCGCTTTTAGATCAAGCGATATATGAAAGAACGATCATGCTACCGACCGAGTAAAATTTTTTGGAGGTCAATGTAAACAAACCATGTGCTTTCGGCGAGTAGGTTGTAAATGACGAAGCCGTTTATATTCGGAAGCTGAGAAGGGTTTCTTACGATTGGGTGTTGTTTGAAAGCATTCACAGAGGTTCTTACAATGCACAGGTTCGATTCCCAAGTAGGTATATTTCTTTTGAAACGATCGAAAGGTTTCTTGTGGAAGTTATGCCCAAATCTCTTTGTTTTCGTTGTTTACGTCACTACGAACGACAGCTGGTCTTTGAAAACGAATTTATTTTTCACGAATTGGGTTCCGTAAGAGTCACTGGCGAGCAACAAAAGAAAATAGCGTGATTAAAGAGAACTTGAGTTTTGAATCCTGGAGTTCGTTTTGTTTTTGTTACCCTGTGAGGAACCCAGCGTCGCATCAGGCGCGGCGGACGTTGGCAAAGCTAACTGATCACAAAAGACAAAGCTTACTTAACAATTCACAACGCGTGCAGTATGCAAATCACTGCTCAAATAATTCAGAAAGTCAGCCGACTGTCAAAGCCTTTGAAAGAGGAAATTACCTGTAATCAAGCTCGTAAACAGAAATGCAATTACAGAACGAAACAATCGATACACGCTTGGGGCATTTGAAAGCCGCGTGAACGTCACCATTGTAATGCAAATCGCGTTAATTGAGGGTTCTGTTTCGGTGTGGTATTTTCCTTTGTGGTGAATCGAAAGGAAAATGTGCTGTCGATTCAATTTTAAAATCTGAAATCAGCAATTTTCAAAGATATGTGGTTCAGCTTGATAGTTATAGATCATATTTTCATCTTTCCTTCAATATTTGATGGGTGAACCCTCGAACAAGATTAAATCGATCTCGGCGTCTTTCATCATGTCTGATATTTCATTGAGAGAAGATACAAATATAGAGGCCAATGTTTACCCCTTTCACAACTGAGGAATGCGAGAGAAAATCGAACGTAGTTTGCGTTTCGTTTACCAGACGAGAAATCGTAGGAAAGCGGCTTTATCTCGCGCCAAAATTGACAACTGAACTGTCAAAAGCCAACAAGACACAAAGAGACGTGATAATTGATGGGCGGTGGAGCGATACCGAAAGACCGGAAGTGAGTTAGACAAGCTTATTCTTCACACAAAAGCGCATTCTTTTTCAATTTATTTCCATGCATAATTTCCTGAAAAACCGAAAAATATTACTTCTTTCACCCTTAAACCACTGCCTTAAAAGTTGCGAGGAGTAAATGCAGTTTGCGCAAAATCCTGGGTTACGTTCTTTCTAAGTTTCTTTGGTCGTGAATTTACTGGCCCGTGCCACCTGGAGTTTATTCTAGAAGGAGATCAAAAAGACGCTAAATGCGGACACTGACTGGAACACAATCCAAAACATGGCGCCATATGGTGTGAAAAATTAGTACAAACAGCTTCATTCCGGGAATCCCCCTCAAACAGAAAATACTTTGATCAGATCAGAAGCCTGGAGCATTTGCATTATCACCAAAGCTGACCAGACGGCCACCTGTAGCTAGGTGAAATTCCATGAAGTTAATTTTGGCGAAAATAGTTCTCGGGTACTCAGTCTGGAAAATGTCCCCGGCTTTTCCCTAAATATCGTTTTTGACTGTGTAATTTTGTCTTCGCGAAAGCGCATTAGCGTTGGAACAGATCAGTGAACGTACGCTTCTGAGTCTGTGTTCAAGTTGTTATTAAGTACAGTAGACAGTTGAATTGAACTGTGAATCATGAATAAATCGATTTTTTTCACAAGTGCTTCTCATACCCGTTCATGTGATCTTTTTTCCGATTTCTTTTTAGAACAGCAATTGGATCATATTAACCCGGTGACCCTGCAAAGTTCCTTTAATTCTAAAGCAGACAGCAACCAAAGTAGGCAAAGATTCAAGACTTCCTTCCCGACTCCCGGTGCTTCTCAAGTGTCACCGAAAAAATATCGCGATTCCGATTTAAGCGCGATATTCACCTTTTTTCAAAGATTTCAGTGATAAGAGCATGGGATATTGACTAGAAAATTTGCCTAATTCTTTTATATTTTTAAATACTTCATTATAAGATGTGCGAAAAAATAAACGTACTGATAATTATCCCGTACGCCCTGCAAGCAATACCGGCATTAAAATACCACTGATTTTGTCACTGACAAATTGACGTAAATATCTAATTCCTTTCAAAATCGGTTGCGCGCTTTGGTATCTCAACGCTTGTGCCATGTTTAGTTAAGGTTTAAACAGCGGCATTAAAAAGTTATGAAATATTTGCCATTGAACACAAACACACGAAGACCGAGAAATGGAGAGATGATTTAACACGGGCGAAGCAGAAAAGCGAACAGACAAGAATATGAGAAATGAACGGAAGACGGAAAACGTGTGTAATTAACGTGTTAAACGGTATTTTTCAGTCGGTAAGGTTAATGTAGCTAAAACAGATAAGATGGGCGGACGGATTTTATTTCTTCAGTTCCCCAACCTGTGAAATCTGCAGTTTCAATTTCACTTTGGAAACTGAAAGATTTTTACATGGTTCTCAATTGCGCATGCATTCTGCGTCAATCAGTGAACACGGGATCGCGTCAAGTTCACTGGTGTTGTCAATTTTAGCTAACAAATTAATTGATCAGTCTGAAGAATTAGAAGTACTCTTTTGTGAGAGCGTTTCTATGCACCTCTGTTATACATTTGTTTACGACACTAAACAAACAGAGATAAAACAAGCCTCCCACGCGCCCAAATTTTTTGATTAGCATCTGCGCACCTTACGCGCCAAACACAAAGACAAGGGTGTCAAGAATTGTCCTATTTTGAGAGTGCTAATGGACCGATGACGCAATCACCTAAGGCCCAAAAAGTATTTTTGATCAATTCCGTGAGTGTGAAAATTCTGGATTAAGGGTGATTTTCTCTTCAAAAGTCCCGAGAAACCTTTCACGGCAGTTTGCACTGATCTGGGTTCCTCTTTGCACTCATGGGCTTTCTGCCAACGCTTGATCACTTGCACGTTGGATTCAGAAAAATGTAAACAGAAGTAACCTGTTTACTCGAGTTCATACGAAACGGTTGCTAGCGGAATACTGATGTAACCGGATTTCTACACTCTACGTTGTTGGTAAAGAGTTTCAAGTTTATGCACAAGATGCAGCCCATTTTTAAAGCTGCCGCATTACTTATTTTCAGTGGAACAGATGTGAAAAGTACTGTCATGCAAGGGAAAAAATTAAACATAGTATTTTTCAGGACATCCGTAAACAGCTGTTCATTCACGTACCGGAAAATACAAGTAAATCAAAGCAAACAGAGAAACAAAATTTGATCCACTGCTAACTTGACAAAGCATGTAACTAAAATGAAAACAACAATGGTGATAGGGTCCAGGAGAGAACGAGCGTAAGATACGCCCATATATTAGGGCATAAAGACGCAGGCATAAGGGCTACACGAGGGTAACCGCTAGATGCATGTTCCCTCTTTGTTGAAGCGATATTAGACCATATTAGCTGATATTACAGTTTCAGAGAAGATCTCCGCGGCAGTTACTCGAGATTTTTAAAGAGTACATTTCTCCCGCTCCTCGCATCAAATTGCAGCGCGACACTCTCACCTTGTAAAGAGAGTGCGTCATCAAGAATTGTAAATTAAAATACCTTATATGCGCTCGAGTCCTTACGATATTCGCTAAATCTTTTCTGTTTGGTGCCGAAAACTAACTACAGTACTCGCAGAGTCAAGACAGCAACGGATGACATTTTGAATATACATATATATATATAAGCCACTGAACCAGCAAAAAGTGGAACGTTTTTATTAAATATAACTTAAAATTGTCAATTAAGATATTTTTACAACAAGCACACATGTGAATTTTTTTTTCACACGTTTTAACAAGACATTCATTCGTGTGCTAATTTCATGTGCGGTTGTTGTTTAGCTTCCAGTGGTGGAGTAACGGATCACAGTCCTACTCCAAACAAGGGGAACTGTTCCCATGTAATAGGAAGCATATTTCATCTTCACCAACGAACATCCGTGATCGGACAGCAGCGGCAGCAGCAGTCATGGTCTCCTTCGCTGCTCAATTAATTTTTTTTTTTTTACCTAAAATGAAGGAACAAGAACAGATCTAATTGTAGATAAAGCTAGCGCGCTTGCCAGATAACGGCAACTATAGTGTACCCCCCCCCCCTCCTTGCCCGCACTGAGTGGGATGCCAGTCCATTGCAGATTACATCTCACCATATTTGTTCGTTTGAATTCAACGCACTAACCAGTGGGAATAAAACGTAAGCGTCGGGGAGGAAGATATGTAGAGAGCGGGGTATGTGTTAGTTCGTTCCAATTTACTGCGGCACGCTCAACAGCGCTACCGAGAGAATTTACGTCAAAGTGGCGCTGAATGGATAAATAATGTTGCTTAGCGACGTATGTCTGGAAACCTGCGGGCTCACTACATTCCCAAAGAAGAGAAACTCGGTTGCGTCGAAGACTTGTCACACAACGTTATGTGAGTTGTCACATAACGCTTGTCCTAATCCTAACATTGCATGACACGACCGCGGAGACTACATTGTTGCAACAAGAGAGGGGATTCCATATTTCCATATTATAAAACTAAAGTACTTGCACCCAAGACAGATTATGTCACCTTATATGCTGGCGACTTTCTCCTTGTAATCTTGTTGTCACAACGCTGCTGATTCTCTTTCTTCATCAATTGCTGAAACTAAAAGCATCCCATTTGAATACAGCGTGATAAAGGGCATGTGGGACTGAAGAAAAGGAAAACTGAAACAGTAATTGTTATTTGAGAACCTAGTAACTCAGTTAACAAAGCACAACCGTAAGTTACGCACACTCGTATCCAGCGTCATCGTTCCCTTTGACCAGCGGATTCGTCAACCCAGCATGCACAGTAAGGAATGAATAATTGAGGTACGAGAAGCTAGGAGATTGTAAGTTATACCAAACATTTTCGAAAACCATCTGGAATAGGCAAAAACGTGCACCTAAAGGTTGAAGCAGGCCTCTTCTAAACGATGTTGGATGAGCATGTTTGATGATTGAATAAGTCTGGACTTGAATGGATTACAGGATAAAAGCTAGTAAATTATACCTTCTGTATCTTCATTCTGCAATATTTGGTGTTTTGCCCGTGGATTTCTCAGAAACAAAAGCAGCGGAGCAAAGAGAAGATTTACGATCGCTAACCCTCGAAGAAGCCTTTTAGAAGAGAGAAAATAAAGGGAACACTTTAGGTCCATCTCTTGATGATGGCAGCAACGTAGTAATCCCAGTATTACTTCAATTTTTTACTACCGCTCAGATTAAAAGTCGTTTTTCCACTTGTGTTGACAGTCATTCCTCAATAAAAGGCAATATAGGCGAGTTTTCATGAAACAGAAGGAAAATAAGGGAAGGATCAAAATGAAATACAGTAAAAAACCCGCGAGTAAGATCCTAGATTTTAAGAACCTGCAAGGCTAAAATTTGCCAGTTAGACCCCCCAACATCTCTGTTTAGCCTTCTTTTCTGAATCACAGGTAAAAATTCACTAAATTGGACAAATAGTATTTTGCCATCCTTTATACTCTGTTAATGCTCAGAGAGCATATAAAGTTATGTACAAAGGTAAGACTTCCACATGACCATTTATGTGGTAAGTACTTCTTTTTTCAAGAAAAGTCGTTATGGCATGAACAAATACTTTTTATGATTTTATGTAAGGAATAGGCTGAAAACCACTGAATCTGAAAGATACCATTTATGTAAGAACCTGTTAAGCCTAACTTGGAAAATGCAGGTTCTTACTCACGGGTTGCTACTGCAGTCCTTATCAGTGGAGTCCATCTATTTAAGCTCGAGATAGAATTTGTTTTCATGTTAGATGCTAGCTGCATTCTTGATAGCCTGCGAACGCAGACGTATTTCCGGCTGTCAATTGGTTCCGCCGAAAAATAACGTCTGCGAACCCGAGCCAGGAAACGATTTCTGTGACGTAATGACTTTTGTTTCTCCTTGGCCAATCAGATTCCATGATAGGATGAAACCCGAGTGCTCCTCATAGCGAATACCTCGCGCAGTAGTTCTGGGGTTATTTGAGCTAAACTGTGATTGGCTTAGAATTCCTACGTCACAGAAATCGTTTTCTGGCTCGGGTTCGCAGACGTTATTTTTCGGCGGAACCAAGTGACAGCCGGAAACACGTCTGCGTTCGCAGACTACATTCTTGATGGAACGCTCGTAAATTTACACTAATTAATTATGAGTTATTATGGAGACCCTGTTAGGGGAAAAAAAACGGAGGAGTGGAGGGGGGAAGGGGAAAAAGGAATTCTCTTCCTGCTCCCCCAACCCCTCCCCTTTATACGCCTGCTACGCAGGCTAGGAGGTTAGCAACTTCAGCGCTCGAAAGCATGCCCAAACCCTTGGAACCCATACCCCCAATATGCCCCCCAGCATGCCCCCAGCCCCTTAGAAAATTTTGAAAAATTGAAGTAGCTAAGAAGTCTTTTCCTTCATTCTGAGTCGAAATGTGATGCTTAAAAAATAACCATAAAGTAATCATTAAATCTACTGACCGGAGAAATGCTGGCTCTACGTAAGAATTCTGCGTGAGAGCGCCAGATTGAATTCGTCTGCGTGAGCCTCATGCTCAATGCGTGAGACTTGATAGCAGTGTGTCGGGTTTTTTTTTAAATAAACAAAGCATTACGATGTGTTATACGTGTAGCTTCGTTTTAATCGAACAAGGTCAACTTTCCCGACACAATTCCTCTGAGACGAAGTTCCGACAGGCGACATAGGAATCTTGCAAAATGCCGACATGGCTGGTGGCGAATTTCAGAGAGGGGACATGGGTACCCCCCTAACAGGGCCTCATTATGATACGTTTCGTACTGTTTTGGAAGACGGCAAAGAAAACATAAGGTCAAAAAGATTCATTAAGCAACAAGAAACTGAGCTAACTTTCAATCAAAACAAACAAAAACGAATATCTACCATGGAAAGCTCCCTTTAGCCACAATTGCTCCTCCAATCAGCGGCCCTGTAATAAAGTTTAATCTTAAGCAAACTATCTCGTTTGCCACACAACACAGGATAAACGATAGCGTTCTTTCTAGTGTCATATAGGTTACACAAGTCTTGTATGATTTGCCTTGCACGTTATATATTACCCCTTGTAGCATGTAGTTAAATGAAGTTCAAAGCAATTCCCAGGTGAGGTAAAATATTCAATATGCACTTTTTGCGGAGCACGTACCAAAGGCGAATCCAACAGAAGCCGCGAAGTCTTCGATAGCAAAGACACTGCCATACACAGAGGCGTGCCTAGGGAAAAGGAAAACACTGTTAAGTTCTTGTGGATTCTGTTTCAGGTAAACTGTGTGCATACAAGCCCAGTGGCCAATCAGGCTGGCGCTTATCGTCGGTTTCTGTAGCATGAAGCGACCAGGAGTATTTCTACTCCCCCTTGGATGGGATGCAAGTCCCTCACAGGGTTACCCCCAGCATTAGATTCACCGGTATCCATTTATACACCTGGGCGGAGAGAGGCACTGTGAGAGTAAATTATCTTACCCAAGAAGACAACACAATGTCCCCGGTCAGGATTCGAACCTGAACTCTCCATCCGGAGTGGAGCGCACTAACCATGAAACTCACGAACAAACAACACTGGCATAAGTCGTTATCCGGCGAAAGCTGACGATGCTATTAAACTAACTATAACACAAAAGATTTACACAAGGGTAGAGTGCCAAAAAAGAGCCGAGAAGGGAATTGAGGCGTATCTCACCTTATGTCCACAAGGTAGGCCAGGGCTGCTGCCATAGCGGCGTCCACCATTCCTGCATACACAACAAGAAAAAATATCATAGATTATTAAGCACTGGATCATTGGATAATGCAATTTATGAGTTTTCATTGGCTAAGCCATCACGTTATATGAGCAATTATACCATGCTCTACAAATATGGTAAGCGTACGCTTAAGTTTTATATTTTTATTCTATTTTAGTTTTCCATATTTTAAAGCCATTTTTAATAAAACAATTATTGCACTCGCGCTTGTTGGATATGAAATGATTAAAACCAATCCGGCGCTACGCGCCTCAGCATTGGCTACCTATCATCTCATTTCCAATGCGTGCTGGTGGAATAATTGTTAAAAAAATGTATCGCTGATTTAAGAACACAAAAAGACGTAAGATATTCCATGTGATCAACAAGCCTGGACCTAGAGCAAACAGTGGGGCAATCCAAATAAAGCGCGCGTGTTCGATGGCACGGCGATTTCATATGAAGATGTTCGCTCAGCTTAGAAAAAAGGAACGGTATATAACTTTGGTCGGTGAAAAAACAGTGTTAGACGCATAAGATAATAGGGCCACTGTCACAAAAACAAATTTGTGCTATTCGAGGCCTATCAATATCGTCAACACTTACACTGCCAAGTTATAATAGACTTTTTGTGTTATGTTTCTCATTATCGTTGTCAATGCTCCTGCTTAAAACATAAAAAAATTGCCATTCCCAGTGCCTCTCTCCTCGCTTCTCGCGCTGCGTCTCAACTAAATGAACGCATGAAACAGGCTTGGAAAAAGAAATTCTCTTATTATTCGTCACAACAGGGCGAGTTAACAGTTTAACCATCCGTTGGACCTGAGATCTGTTTATAGAGGTGTATTACTGTTACAGCGTCCATTAACCACGCGCACAAGAAATGCATGCTTCCTTAAAAGGTTTTCTCTAAAAATACATGGTGTATTTCACGTCTGTCAACAGAATTGCGTGCAACGGCGATACCACGCTACAGTGCGTTTGAAGTGTATCACCATGTGGAGCTCTCAACCCCCATTAACAACCACTTCGCGTGATCTGATTTGACTAATATGCTCTGTTGAACACCTGGCAAAATATTACAATAAGAGCTTAAGAGCTGACAAAAATCAATCGCGAAAACCTCGATTGCTTCAATTAAGCAGGAATATCAGTGATGGTTCGAGATAACCGTTCAATTTGTTTTTATGCTTAGCGAGGCCCGACTGGTGTTGAACGTTTGCGTAAGATAACAACAAGTCAATGATTAGGATTTTGTATGACCTTGGAAGAAATCTTTTATTACATATCGTAAATATCCGTGTTTTCCTTGATAACATAATTTGCTTATTATGTAATATATCAGTTCATAATCAAACATCAGGTGCCTTGTTATATTTAACAATTAGATTATGTGCTCGAGATTTCTATGAGGTGATAGTTGATGAGGAAGAGGGCCGAATCAACTATCAACTCATAGAAATCGAGAGCGAATAATCTAATTGTTTTAGTAGAATTTTTGCCTAAATTTTCTTCAACTAACCATTTCCAATTGTTTTTGTACATCGTATTTAACTTAACACTTTAGAAAAATCGCACGGACTGAATTGTCGTTTGGAATTTCCTGTTGTGTACGGGCTCATCAGTTTCTTCAACATTTTCTATTTTTTTTTTCTTTAAGTCACGAAACCGTGAATGCCCTTCAGTTGAGTCTTCTCAGGAATTTAATTATCCATTTGTATTTAAATGTTCTTCCCTGAATTCGCAAAAAAAAAGAAAACAAGAAAACGTCGCTATTTTACAGACGACCTCCAGCTACTGCATTCTAATTAACAATTAGACAATAGCCCATGAGGCGAAGCCGAATGGGCTATTGACACGTGGCCCTTGAGGGCGAAGGGTCTAATTGTTTTAGTATCACCCAACTAGTCGGACAGAAAAGGTAATAATAAAGTTAGCAAATGCAAGTTGAAGAAAT